AACTAACATTTCCTTTTTTCAACTCAAAAAGGGTACTTCAAGGTTATCATGAACTGTGCCCTCGAATGATCCCTGGGTAATATTCTTTTTTTTTTGTTACACATTACACATTTCGATCAAAAGGAATTTGATCAGCTGGACTTGATGTTAATCCGTAGTAATAGCACTTCGAACTTCACCTCGTATTATTTCTCATTCAGTCACTTTTTATCACTAAGATTTCTCTCTTCTGCTCTGTGAACTTTACATATGATAGGCTTGAGCTACATTTTCGTTCTCACCATGGAAACTCGAAAGGGGATTTCCATTAGGTGTGTGCATTAAGTTCCGCCGTTTTTTGAGAGCAGAAACATATTTATTTCAACATTAAGACAAATTGTGTTTTAACCAGTGTATTGTCCGTCGCTAGTTACAACTTCTTGCCATCTTTCTTGTAGCTTGTTGACTCCGCGTCTAAAAAAGTCTTTATCTTTTGAGGCAATCCTATTATCCACCCATTTCCGCACTTCTTCGGCAGTCTGGAAGCGTGTATCTGCCAAACTGACTTCCACGGACCGGAATAAGTGGTAGTCAGAAAGAGTAAGTCCGGAGAGTATGCGGGCTGAACAAGCTGGTCCCATCCAAAAACTGCAAACATTCTTCGCAACATGGAGTCTGTCATGTTCGTGGTGGAACAGCACCTTATGATATTTTCTTCCGATTAACTGTCGCTTTTAGGTGAGAACCTCCTACAAACTGTCAAGTTGGTGTTCGTAGCGGTCAGCAGAAACAGTTTCGTTTGGGCTCAGCAGCTCATAATACACGGCACCCTATGATCCCANCACCAAATGCACACACAGCATTACTTTTTGGCAATGGACATTCCGCTTTCGTTGCAAACTCTCAAGTGAAGGGGAACCATCTCAGCAGGTTCGTTCAGATGGAGCTTGCCCTACATAAGTATTGAAAATCATCCGGTGGGCTTCAATGTCAGTTTTCTTGAAATGAACTGCAGGAGAAGGGCCCCCGGGAAAACTGTCTATCACGTTCCATGGCCAATCAGTTTGAGAGCAGCGGAATTCCGGGGAAAAACTGATCTGTCTGCCTTTCAAAAGGTAGTCAATACCCTATCGTACAGAATATGACAGGATTCACCGATAAACCTCTTACATGGTTCCCGCTACGACCCTTCGAATTTGGCGGGAATTAATGCACACACCTAATAAATACTATATTACTGTACCGTATCACTAGCTCTCTATGGCAAGAATACGGTATTTGCATAAAAGATCCAAATTCAAGTGAATTTGTGCTTCCTTTTGTCGGAGCCATCTCCAGGACATTGTTGACTTTATCTATTTCCGTTGGTTCCTAGTTCTCTTTGAATGTTTTACATATTCAATAAAATGTTTCCAGAAAGCACTGTTACATTTCAACGTTGTCCTCTTATAGCACAAAGGAAGTTTGACCAGATCTGCCTTTCAACTTTGTTCAGTATGCTTCACGTATCGAAATGTATTCTAGGTAATTAAAGCTTCCAAGTAATGTAATAGTAATGACCATGCAGAGCTCGGCAAAAACAGTCCAAGTAAACTTAACAATTAAATGTAATAGTTCTTTTGCCCTCAGAAAACCTGATCACATAGATTCAGGTTACCGTAAGCCTTTGCCTTTGTTTCATTCAACCGAAATACGCGATCATCAAACACCTCTGCATGCTGCAACTCGATTTTCTGTAGTCCTAGGGTATATAATGAGGTAGATTTCAGCGTGTCACCCTTGCTGATTTGCACAGCTGTCAAGAGAGTGCTAATTGCAGCAACATCCTTTTACATCAGTCAGAAGTTATTTGTAAATTATTAATTGAATGAAACCTCTCAACACTTTTTTTTGTTTTTTTAGTTTTTTCTTTTTTTTGTTTAGTTTTTTAAAACTTGCTAATTGAATTTCTTTGGATATCGAAATGAAAATGTCCAAATTGATTGCGAGCACCTGAAGTATGATGTTCACCGCGTACTTTAGCAATGAAGGTTCTACAACTGACTGCAACCTTCCTGTGGGCGTTTCCGGTAGTTCACCATTGCTATTATACTATATAAGTTTATGAGAAGATTTTGAACCAAATTCTTTTAAAGTCCGAGAACTTTTGATTCGTACAGTTATTAATCCCTCTGATTTCTACGTAGTTGTTGTCTAGCCGAGTTACCTCCTTTCTGAAGTTATGATGCCTCTGAGATATCGTCTTCTATTAATTTCAGAGTGATAACAACAGATTGCAAAATTTATAGATAAATGAGGTCGGTATGTCCATTGTTGCCCTCGGATACTAGGTCGCTTACTTCATAAGAGGGACGGGGACTTCGAGGACAAGACTTGGTTGGAATATTCTACACAAAGAACACTTTTTACTTTCTCAACGCTTACGAAGAAAATCCGAAGCTCTCAGCGCACAGTGTTGTGATAAAATCCTGATGAATCGATCCAGTAGCCCTTGTCCCCAAGCCGTCGGCTACACGAAAGCTCCGTCTTAGTTAATCTTTCATTCATTGGCCGTTGGCCAATTCACCCAAGTATTCATTTACGGACAGTTGAGTACCATTTCCCTTAACGCCGCTCTCTCTTATTAACCCTGAGTTCGTTCCTTTAACGTTAGATACTCCTAGCCAAGCAAAATTTTTCAAATTTGGAGATGATTATGGCTTTCAGCTATGCCTCTGACTCCCATATTTCCCGCTCATTTGGTGGGACATAAAAACTAGTGACAGAGGTAGTGATCATATTATTGGCTCGGTTCCGCTGTATACTAAACAGAGAAGAAGAGTAAGTCAAAGGGTTCAACTCATACTCACCAGCTTCCGAAAAAGTTTGCGGAAGTGGGGCTATCCTCTTCCATTCTTATAACTGTTTTTGTTTTGTTGAGGATTACTTCTTTTCTTGTATCGCAGTGTGAATACTGTAAGAAAGATGGTAATTCCAAAGCAAAATGGCTAAACTCGCACGAAGCTCAAACTGCGGGTGCTTTTCTGATGGCTACTAATTCAACAGTAGGCCAGAAACATAATTGAAAGTATAGGCGAAGTTAAGTTTGTTCTAAGTCTGAAGCTTCTTTAGAGAACTAAATATTTATATATCGAAACTCCTTCACTCAAAGGATAGTTAGTTTATGGAATGAGTTACCGCCTTCCGTGGTTTACTCTAGCTCTCCAGCTCATTTAGGAGAAAACTAAAGGGTATTTTGATGTCTCAAGGTTGGTTTTAGGAGCGAGAAACCAAACTCTCAATAACTTATCAAGCAAAGAAGCGATTAGCTTTGCTGTTATGTTAATACCAGTTTGGCTATGCACGCTAACGCGCGCAGTATATGTCGACGGCCACTTATTCACGATGGAGTCATTCAGCGGAATGTTGGATAATATTAGTATAAGATAGTTCTCTCTAGATTCGAACGCTGAACTGCTGAGAGCATCACGATCGATATATTTGAGCAGAGTTATTAGTGGTTGATCATAGCTCCGTCCACCTTAGTGCAAACCCTTCCCACAATAAACTTGACCATCCTTCTTTTGACTGCTCCAAACCATTTTTTCCGCACTCCAGAAAGTTTTTGAAGAGATGAGCTTTTGGTCACGGCCCCGCTTCCATGTGCCAGCTCCGCCCCCTTC